AGGGGGGGGGGGGTAAATGAACAGTGCTATTTTCCACCCTCAATGCCTGAGGTGCCCTTGAGCAAGACAACTAAGCCCCAATTTTAAATGGCTGCAGAACCACTGCTGTGTGTGAATGGGATAAATGCAGAAGACAAATTCAGAGTATTGAAGGATATAAGGATCTTCAAATTCAAACTGTGTGTGTTTGTTAATTTCAAGGCTTTTATTGTCACAGTTGTTGTGAAATAATTTTCCATTGCTATTGCTTGTTGTATAATAACACTTGTCGGATTTGTGTTTCTCATTTGAAACCTGAGCATTGAAACGTATGCAACTAAAATTATTCAATAAACTTGACTCCTTTTTATCATCATTACTTTGTCTCCTGCTTCTGCTCTTCACTGGATTTACAGTCAACTTCTGGGCTGACAGAAGACTGTTGATACAGTTTTGGGTACCAGACAAGACTTGCCGACTAGTTGTTCTGTTACCAGACAAAACAGGTATTTTTCTGATAGGATCTGGTGTCTGGGGCTGGATCTATTTCTGGCATGGAGGCATGATCTAACATTACATAAAGAGTAGCAGCAGTGGGATTTGACTGATTCATATCATAGAAAAACAGAAAATGTGCTTGTAACTTTCTGCCAGAGCATCATCTGTTACGTTTGCAGACACTTCCTTTAACCATAAAACACCATTTTTACACAGAATTTTCTTAGAACTCAGCGATATGAAGTCGTCAATGGCAGTACGTTTTGCAGCAGCGATACATTGTGCCATCCTCACTACCCAATGTAGAGCTCCCCTGTCAGATGCTGAGCGATTTCCATAGAAGATGGTGATACAGCTGGTTAATACACTAACATATAACGCATCTGTAGAAACCAGTGAGGATGGAGGGGTAAATGCCATCTCTCTTCAGCTTCCTTAGAAATTACAGGAGCTGTTGGGTGTTCAGAGAGATGTGTGGGCCCAGGAATGAGAAATTTTGTGTTGTCTCAATTTCTGTGCCCTTGGTGGATGATGGTTAATGTGGGGCTTTGGTGCATATGAAGTCAACAGTCATCTGTTTTGTCTTGTTCACATTCAGTTGACGTTCTTTCTCGTAATTGTTATTGATGAAATCCCATAACCACATCGTTGTCACCTGCAAACATTACGATGTTATCGCTTTGGTGTTTTGCTATTGGCTGTTCGCTGAAAGCTTGCTTGGTTTTTATGTGCACACACAATAAGTCTATGAATATTTATTTTTAATCAGTTACAAAAACGTAGACTGCTCTAATTTGAATTGAAAAGTAAGACTTGTCACCCCTTGACTAACTGCTAGTTGGCCAAACTAGTTCTGTGGCTAAGAGTTTGGGTTCCTTGCCACTTAATATTTGGCAAAACTATCAACTTGACTGCACAGACATTATTGGATGAGAAGTGAACTGATCTGGATGATGACATCACTGAATCAACAATGAACTGACTTTAACCGAAAAACTGACTGTTTACTTTTGTCCTCTTTTTAGATCAACACGGAAGTGAGCCGTTTTCTGTGAATGTGCAAGACTTCCAGTTCATTAGCCTCAGCAGGGAAATAACGAGAAGAATAACAAAGAATAATCAAAATAATATGGTAATATGAAGCAGCAAAACAAGCTGTTCAGTACAGCTAAAAATAGCTGGAAGCGGATGACACCGGAAGCCAAACACATTCAATTTACAAATGCTCTTACGGCAAAAATAAGGTGGATAGCAGAATTGAATTTTGTTTACATTATTGAAACACTGTAAAGCTGCTTTGACACAATCTGTATTGTATACAGCACTACAACATATAAATAAAGGTGATTTGACTTGACTTAATTCAGGGTTAAAAGCTGGGTTGATAGAAAAAGTTGATAACAATTCCCTAGTGAAAAAAAGTATACTAAGTATACTTGCAGCCAGACTAATTGTCAGTATACTTCAAGTGTGTTAATTAGTTAACTTGAAGTGTGCTATTTTGGAACAACTATTTTTGTACCAAGTGTATTTTAGTTGTAATTAAATTATACTAAAGTATAACTTTAAGTGTATTTAGTGTACTATTCTGTGCTAAATTGGAACAACTTTAAGTACACTTAGTACACTTTAAGTATATGCCTATTTACATGCTTGATTAGTGATATTAAAGTGTACTTTTTTTGTATTACGAGTACATTACAAATTAATTATGAGTGTCTTTGAATCACACAAGCAATATACTATAAATGTATTATTTTTGAGTAAAAATATGCTAATTTTCCCCCAATGCTGAATCCACTTTTTAAGGTCATTACAATAAATACATAACTTCAATGACAGACAGACACATTATTAACAATTCAGTGTTTATTTAAACCTCAAATGGTTTTAGCATTGCCAAACATAAAATGCACCAACGATGTTTTTAAATAAAAAGAACGCTGAAAGAAACAAACATAAAAAATAAAAACATTTAGCAACAGCAGCACCACACAAACTTCACTTTTTTGCTGAATTTGATTTTGAATTTTTTTTTTAGACTTTATTCCAAACGTAAAATAAATACAATAAAACAAAACAAAAACAATACAACACAATAGAAAACTATTTTAAATTATACATGTCCAAAAAATATTGCAATTCTATAAATAATTGCTCTTTGTTACACTTGCACCTGATGGCCGCTCACACATCAGATGTACTTGTGTGTGGAAACTCCACAAGAACAGCATATATCAAAGTAAAAGAAGTACGGTCAGAGGGCATGTTCATACAACGTTTTCTTTTTACTACATCAGACTGTAAA